AGTTCAAATGTTGGCCTCTAAAGAACAATGCTATTTCAAATATTGAGGCAAGAGATAAGGCTTCAACAAAGTCTCTCGACGTCAAACTCGCAGTCAAATCACAAGTGCAGTGTTATGAACCCGAATTCACAACACAAAGTAAATGAGGGAAATGATAGGTTTAATTCATAAACTCAAAGAGTCAATTATTACAATAGCAAAAACTAGAACCAAGAAGGAGATTCAGAGAAGAAGGATAGAGAGAGGCGAGGGAGAACAGAAAGAGATAGTCCAGAGGAAGAAGCCAAAATAACGGAGACGAGAGGGGAACAGACTTCCCAACAATAGGCATAATCCCAAAATCACTGACCACTACTCTTTTTAATAGAATTGTTCTTGGGCTCATTACTCAACTCAGATCCCAAATTAGCCTGGCCATATTATTTGTTCTCGGCCAAATAATTCTTCTCAACTCAATATTTATTTGTATGTTGATTTTCTTATTGGGCTGAAGCTGATTCATAACAATACAATAAAAACCTTGTCCTCAAGGTTCGAGACAAGAAATCCTTCAATGAAGGACAATGGTAAACTAGTTATAGCAAGATAAACATTCACAGTTATAAGGCCTAGTTGGACAGTCCACGTGCATATCAAAAAGAAACCAGCAGCCCCATGTGTACCAGCAACACAAGTGCGGGAAATGATATTTACTGAAGCGACCTAAATAACTAACACAAACCTTGGTATGCATATTTCTATGGCGGGCTCATCTCTATCACATGTAGGAAGGAGAACAAGAACTCCCTTTATAACAAGGGCAAGGTGTGGCCCTAGCACCCCTAGCAAAGCAACAAATGCTTGACAGATTTCTTGGCAGCCCTTTTTCTCCAGTATGTTAACCCATAAGTCCATTGTGATTAGTTGTTCATTTGTTCTCCTACTCAAAGTGCTGAAATGCCCCATCATAGACTCAACTATGCCATTAACTTCAGGACGAAGCTTTAGAGTTGCAAACATCCCCAAACAAGCGGTGGAGTCAATATTGCTACCCCCTTTTATTTTTCTACGCAACTCACCTAGTGCACCATTAACTCTAATGCTACCTGTAGAATGTGATTCAATACGGGAATAAAAACTAAAACATGACAAGCCATATTCTAAACTTGGTAAATTTATGAATAGTTGCTTTCAGGTCTTGAAGATCAAGGTTGTCAATAGAGAGAGGTGCATTGTATATAAACATAGTAGCTACGACATTTAAGGTTGCTTCAAAGATACCATTTCTATCTTCAAGAATTGGTACATCAAAAGGGTCTCCTTCCGGATCGAAGACTACAAGTATATCAAAAGTAACTTGGGCTCTCACTTGTGTAGTTCCTTCTCTGTGAATTTTGCCAACAACATTTAGAACAACGCCAAGATGTGGAGCAATGACTAATGCATCAGTAATGAAGTTAGATGTTAGCCTAGTAAAATAGCAAGTCTAAATATAATTATGCAACCATAACCGTCCGGGATCCTACATTTGAGTCATATAGTTAATATTTACAAAGAAAAAAAATATGTCAGTAGATCCCATCAATAGTAGTGGTTCCACATTCACTATATAACCTGTTAGAGACTTGAACTTGAAACTTAATTTGAAACTTATTCCTGGATCTCCTACACAAAAACCCGTCGCAATTCCACGAGCAATGACCACGGCGAGATTTACACCAGGATTAAATGGAAATTGATTCGAAAGATGATCAGTGAAAGTGTTATCAATACGACAAGCTGATTTCTCAGGTATTTCCTTGAAATCGTCCACAACTATGGTCGAGTAATCCTTATAAGTACTATCGAATTTCATTGAGAAAGCAATATGCGGTACACTCACCACCAATAGAATACATTCATCATGTTCTACTTCTCCACTAGCGTTTTCATGCTCAACATCCGGTATCGTTTCATACAAAGGCATTTTACCTGTCGAAATCCCATCCCCTTTCTCCATAAAAAGTTTATCAAGATATAGATTCACAATAGTTTCTGGTCCTATGAAAAAGTCAGCAAGATACATGTCTTCCAAGACCTCAAATTCAATTTGTCGTTCACTAGAGCCATGAAAAAGAGAAGGCGTATTAACGTACCTCCGTGGCATATCTCTATGGGGACTATCATCAAACAGTTAGACTTTGTTGCTTTCAGGAATTGTAGCTTCGGCATCAGGCAGTTCGATTGGGGCATCTGATTACACCTCTTCGAATACCTTAGGACAACCACTATGTAACATGTCGTCGAACACCTTAGGTGATTGATTATCGTTCAAATCAGCTACAAAGTAAGAGATATAGACGTGTGCATATGTGCTTTGTCACGCTGCTTTAACAGAAGAAGTTTCATCCACTGCTTTGGTGAAAACTCTAGTAGACATTTCATCGAACACATGTTTCGCTTCTGAGTTTCCATCTTTGAGTGTAGATTATAACCCATAGAAGTTGGAATTATGACTAAAATCAGGTAAGGGAGATACCTGGGTTTCAGACGGACACAAAGTAGCATAACTTACGTAGCTATGATAAGCCAGGGACGGATCATCCACACTCATATTGGAATATGCGAAGGTCCATTTTCGAAATCGCAAAAATAATTTCTCCTTGAAGTGGTTCCAATCATAGAACTGTTTGTTATGATGTAGCCAATCAAACCAAGCGAGGACCTCACCTTCAAGGTAGAAGTAAGGAAGAGGTAACCAGTCTTCCTCGGAGAAGCCAAGGAATTTGAAGTAACGCTCCGCTCGATAAACACAGCTCTCTGGGTTGCCATTGCTGAATTTATCCAGTATCACCGCTGCCATTGAAGTCTGAATCGATGAAAGCACCAATGTTATGAACCCGAATTCACAACACAAAGTAAACGAGGAAAATGATAGGTTTAATTCATAAACTCAAAGAATCAATCATTACAATAGCAAAAACTAGAACCAAGAAGGAGATTCAGAAAAGAAGAGCCCGTGCTGATTATAGATAGCTGATAAACTTGAAGTGCTGAAAAGCATTTTTAAGTGTTGAAACTGATTATTTAAATATGCATTTATGTGTTTGGATAGATGTGCTGAAACTAATAATAAGTAATTGATGTGTTTGGTAGAAAAGTGCTGATAAGTTGTTATTTTGTTAAAATGATAAAAATATTCTTAAAAACTTTACAAAAGATTATAAATTAAAAAGTTTCTTTGTAAAGAAAAGGATAAACGACAATATGGAATGAAGGGAAAGTTAAAAAATTTATTTTGGGAAAAATATCCTGTGAATTAAAAAATATTATTAATGATAAACTAGTAAAAACTTTGGTCAAACTAAAACTGCTTATAAGCTAAAAAGCCATAAGCTGGGAATGACCAACTTATAACTTATGACCGATTTTAGTTTATAAGCATTTGACTTATAAGCACTTTGGATATTTAACAAACGCGTAGATGAGCCAAAATGTGCTTATAAGCCAGTTTAACCAGCTTATAAGCTTAGCCAAACACCCTCGAAGGATAGAGAGAGCCGAGGGAGAACAGAAAGAGATAGTCTAGAGGAAGAAGCCACAATAACGGAGACGAGAGGGGAACATAGTTCTCAACAATTGGCTTAATCCCAAAATCACAGACCATTACTCTTTTTAATAGAATTGTTCTTGGGCTCATTACTCAATCCGAATCCCAAATTAGCCTGGCCCTATTGTTTGTTCTCGGTCCAATAGCTCTTCTCAACCCAATATTTATTTGTGTGTTGATATCATTATTGGGTTGGGGTTGATTCATAACATGCAGTTTATATTTCCGACATGAAGCTACGTATAAATGTAAACAATTAACATCATTACGTATGGTTGGACTAATCAAACACGAGATCAAAAGTGAATTATAAGTTGAACCAATTTGCGTATGGTTGGATTAATCAATCTACGGATGCCAACCTTCCTTGTATCCAATAATGTAATTGTAAACTTCTCATTCTAATTTAGGAGGATAATGATGCAACCGCTTCTTATTGGTTGATAGAACTAGTCACAATATGGAAGTTGAGTTTTTTCTTTTGTTTTTCGTGTTGAATGATTCAGAAATTTAATGTACTACTTAGAAGAAAAAGACATTTTGAAATGGTCATTGGTTAATATTCATATCTTTTGAAGCATGTCTATCTGAGTATCTGTTGATTAAAGAGTGTATTCATTTATGAAAGAGAATACATTTATTCGTGAAAAGATGCATTAGTTACGTTTCACTCTCAATAAACACTTAGCCCTTAGAAAATTATCGCCTGAGTTTTCATAACTTATCTATTGAACTATCTTTTCATTCAACTCTAAATTTCTAAAAAGCCAATTGAGAGATTTAAGATGTAACATTGCTATTTAATTATACAAAAATAGTGACAAAAATCTACTTGCCTTGAACTAGTTTTTCACATCTATTTCTCTTTCTCTTTTTTCATTATTGATTGTTGCATTTTATCTGTTGATTAACTTTTCTTATCCTAGTTAAGACTACATTTTTAATATTTATCGAACAGAGTACAGACGGTTGGAATGCAGAGGTTTTTCAAACCTGGTATGTTGAATTCATTACTTGCTAATTGCTATTTCGACTAATGGGATGTTTCAATTAAAGCCCAGTTGATGCTTCGACCTGTTTGATTAAAAACTTAAAATACCTTAACCTTCGGTGAAGGAAAATATTTTATTATAAATCTCTTGAAAGATCTCTATAATTCTCCACAAATTTTTTACATGTCACTACACATAAATTAAGCTAGCAATGTGAAACCTATTTTAACTAGAAATAAAAATATATTCCTATATTAATTTGATTATAAATCCTATCTACACATGAATTAAATAAACTAACAAATATCAAATCCTAAAGAATTTGTTACTGTACTTTTGAATTAATTTTCCAAGACCAATAGCAAGTGCTAATAAACAAGAAACAAACACAAATGTTTTCTGCAGATAATAAAACTATTCCAATTTCATATGTCTGTCAATACAGTGATACTCAAAAGTTAATATCAGCTTCAATACTCTTATCTGTTTGTATGATACCTTTCTACTTAGAAAACATAAACAACTAAACCATTACAATTACAAGAAACAGTGTCATTCCACAGCTCAAAAGTGTTAGTTGTATTCAAAAAACAGAATTACTCCTACCATTCCATATATGTATACCATTCTGAGTACCATATATTACAATCCGGCCTAATCTAAGTGACTTTTCTAAGATTTTCTGATATTCATATGATAACCATCACCCTATATATGTTCTTGATTTCAAGAGATGTTTTCAAATTTTCTCTTTATCTCTTGCGCTTGGACTTTAGAGATGTCACAGACTGTGAGTTGCTATGCCAATTGCGCTTTCTTTGATTGATGAACCAGTTATTTATTTGTTTCAGTTGTAAACCTGTTTCCTCCACAAGTTTTGCCTTATCATCTTCCTGCATATTGGAAATCTTGATTATAAACAATGATGATAAAATTTAAAGGTGCATGTAAAGATTTTCAGAAATGATATAAATTTGGTGACAGACTCACAGTTGGATAAGGCCATTTGGAGTGTTGCTGCCACCAATTCTTTAAAACAGTAGTGGTATCACCAGGTAACTTCCCTGCTCTTCTCTTTCTCAATATCTCCTCCCTCACATCTTCAATTCTTGATCTAAATCCCTGCAAGAACCAGTTGGTAGCGAGGGTGTCAAATGGGCAGCTTGGGCTGAATTTGGGTGGGTCAATATGGGTCGAGTGATTGATCCGCCCAAAAATTATTTCTGCGGAGACCGGCTAGGTCAAGATGGGTTAAAATTTGAGTTATAGCCCAACCTTTCCAACTCTTACCAAGCGTTAAAAATGTGTGTTATTTTCTTATAAATTGTTTAATTACCAAATAAGAGTCTTTTCTTTTGTTATGGTCATATATAATATATCAAATAAAAATAAATTATGTTTAAGATATTTTAGCAAAGTTACTCATGGATCAATTTGGGCTAAAAATCAGCCCAATTTTAGATGGGCTAAGATGGAGCGGGTCAAGATGAGCTGAGTTCAATAAATGACCATCCTACTTTAAGTAGACGGATCGGGCGGGTTAAATGACTTTAAGCTCGAATTGCCACCCCTATTGGTAGCTATGATATGGAAAAGCTACAAATTAAGACTTGTGTGAGCTACTAGTATTTACTTGGCTTCCTATATATTTCACCAAAGCTCAAAAGAAATACATGTCAACTGGGCAAAGTCAGTCCACAACTGGCCAAGGTCCATTTGATAAGTGGGGCTGCAACTAGCCCAACCCCTAGAGGAGGACTAGACCAGCCCTCTTCTTCTTCCAAAGCATCAAAAAGGCCCTTATAGCCCAATGAAACTAGACGGAAACATCATAAATACTCAATTGACTTGCTGAAGGGGCTTCAGCAGCCTTGGCGTAACTGGTAAAGTTGTTGTCATGTGACCAGGAGGTTATGGGTTCGAGCCGTGAAAACAGCCTCTTGCAGAAATGCAGGGTAAGGCTGCGTACAATAGACCCTTATGGTCGCATAACGGGAGCTTAGTGCACCGGACTGCCCTTTTTACTCAATTGACTTGCTCATGTTTTTACAAAGATTGCCAGGTGACCAGGATGTCACGGGTTCGAGCCGTGGAAACAGACTCTTAGAGAAATGCAGGGTAAGGCTGCGTACGATAGATCCTTATGGTCCAGCCCTTCTCCGGGCCCCGCGCATAGCGGAAACTTAGTGCACCGGATTGCCCTTTATGTTTTAACAAATAATCTATGTTATTTTTCATGTTACTAATCTCAGACAATAACCTGTAATTATCTTTCAATGACTTGACAATGTAAAAATTATTTTACACCATCATTAAAGTTAAACTCTTTTAGGGGAATGATAGATTTTGAAGAGGTCACCTGTTTAAGCTCAATCTTTAATTCCTGTCTGACTCTCTCCATAAGGGACCTTTCAGATTCAGTTGGAAGACCAAATCCCATACCCATTAAATCATGTGCATCACCTCCTGATTGATCTAATGAAAAATCCATTTGTAGCTCATCCTCATCATCAGACATTGTTGCACCTGATCCTTCTCCAAGTGTTGCTCCTGAGGTAGAAAAAAAAAAGGGGATATACATTTCAGAAAACTGGAAATAAATTTGGATGCAGTTTTCTGACTTGTTGAACTTGGTTAAAACACATTCTTAAACAAGTAAAAATACTTGGTAGCTATTAGTCTCATTGATTTATTGCCTTTTACATGTACAAAAGCTTACCTTTTTTAAGTGGAATAATTATAACTTATAATCTTCAATTATTGGTAAACATGCAATGGAACGTGTATAGTTCCTCCTTTCATATCTTTATGAAAGGACAAAATGGATAAGATGTAACGATATCCACATTATTTTTTGCAGCAGTACTCTTCAAGTAAATTTAATTATATCACCAATACATTACATGTTGGTCTGGATTTGACAGTTACTTCATTTTCAGGCATTATCTATAAGGAAAAAAACTTATCAATATCCAGTGTTTATATATATCAAATAACTTGCATATATTTATTGATGCAAACATTAGATATGACTGTGTCCTTTTCGTCTATGAAAGGGTCATAAGTATTCATATGAACGTACTTGACATATGCGAAGTTGTTTTACATTTTTTTTAATAAACGTTATTTTACTACATTAGGAAATAAATAATGATGTTGAGCATACTTCTATGTGTCTTCTTGACATATATTTGCAAGGATATGTCAACTGTCATGCCAATACTTCTACCACATGAAACCGACAGTTGTAGCACTGTTTAGATGTATTCACCTAATTCTTGCTACATGTATGTATGGAACAGTCCCCATCAGAGCCGGATCCAAGATTTAAATCCTATGGGTTCAATTTTAAGGTTTTTAACATTGAACCCATTATATTTTTAAAGTTATGGGTTCATATCTACTATTTTTGCAATTTTAATGAATTTTTACATATAAAATTTTTACTCCGTGTCGAAAGTTATGGGTTCAGTTGAACCCGTAGGTAGTACACTACATCCGCCTCCCCATGATAGGAAAACTGTTGCAGTTAAAGATATAGAATTAGAAACTTCTAATATGCATTGTTTCAAAAAGATCTACACTTTTTAATATTTTCTTTACAAGAAGTATTTATAGCCAAACAAATGATATGACAGGTTTCAGGCCACAAATTTCAAAAGTTTTACGGTCATACAAATGTTATAAACTTATTTAAGGCTACATATCTTAGAAGTCTTCCCTTTTTTATTAAAATTTGTGACAAGTCAAACTAAGACAATCTTTTCGAAACGGATGGATATTATTTTTTGATGTTCATATTTTTATTTTATACTTTACAACTTGTCTTCTTAAAACAAGAACAAACATAAAAATTTAGAAAGAAAACTGAGACATCATAAATATGCAACATGATTAAAAGAATAAATGTGGCAGTAAAAAGGGAAGTCAATTGCTTATAGAATGGCAAAACAAATGAGGTTAAGTTTATTTCATAATGGGGTTTAGGAACAAGGACTGTGACTCTTGTCTCGAATGATTTAATTCAGTAGTTAGAGTGCAATCAGCAATGCATGATGTGTAAGTTAGATGCACATTCACGTGTTTGAATCACGTCTATTTAAGTGGAAAAGGCTAGAAAGACAAACTCATTATCTACCAAGATTCATGCACTAACTAGTCTTCGCGAATTTCTTGGTTTTTAAAAAAGGACTTTGAATCCTATCTTATGCAAGTCCTTGACTTGCTAAAAGGAGATTAGAAGAAAAGTGGTGATATTTACCAGCTATTACACAAGTCAGTTGGGTGCTCTAGTCTTTCTTGATAAGAAATAGTATCATACTGCAGACTAATAGCTATATCCGCTTAAAGATCGATGTTATGGGTGTGTTTAGATACACCAGACAGATAGACAGACGAGAAACATAACAAAATAGAAAAGTATTACTAATTATGCTTTCCCCATGTGCTTAGAATGAACCTATAACATATTAAAAGTGTCCTTAAAACTTGTGACTGTAAGTATATCATAACATTGTTACACCTAGACGAGTATGTCGTAAAGTATGAAATTAAAAAAAAAGGATCTTTAAATCTAGAAAGGTAATATTATTCTTGTGAAGAAATGGATATTGAATACCCTAAAAGGTAGCTCATGAGACGAGGATTGTCCAAAATTATTTAAAATTACAACCGTTTTCTCAACCAATATGGGACGTAATACACTCTCCGCCACCCCACCCTCCCACACACCCAAGACATGAGCATAGATAATATAACATGGAGATCCCAATATTGGGAAATACTACAATAATAAGGGCTCTGTGGGTTTGACTCTCATACCATGTGAAAAAATACACCTTGTATGTGACTCAATCCCAAAAAGCTAATTCATGAAGAGATAAATGTCATACTATAACATGTTCTCTCAGCTAATGTAAAACTTAACGATTCTTTTTAGAACGGACAAAATAATATCATATAAACTGAAACATAAAAAATATCAACAATTCATGTCATGAGCGTTTTACCAAATAACTTAAATTATCAAGCAAGTATTTCACAAGTTCTTTAAATGGATGATACTAATGTTTGTACAATAATTATATCATATACATAATCTCTAAACATGATTGGAAAAGATGTTGGAGGAAAAAAGAATTAAGATCCCATATCTTCTTGTTGTTAGATGAATCCTATGCAGTGAATCACAAGTCACAAACAAAGCTAGAAAAGTGGTTTGAGAAACCAAATATTCTAAAGCAGCCTCTGATCAATCATCAGTTGTTAGTAGTGTTGTTGGTTTGTTAGCCTATTCTAATTTGTTCCTTCCAGCACCAACCAACTAAACGCTCCACCTACAATATATATATATATATATATATATATATATATATATATATATATATATATTCTAGTTCCATTATTGGTCCCATTACCACCCAGCTCTCTAACTTGTATGGTTGCACAAACAAGAACCCCAAATTGCTTTAATAATCCTAAGCATCAAATCAGAATAATAAATTCACTAAATTAATTTTACCATGCACTTCAACACGTAAGGTTCACATATTTCCCTTGATTGTACTTTGGTATAACAAGACTCCTTATGTACACAAGTATTCGTGCTTTGATGCAATATGCATAATGATGTAAGGATTTAACTTATATATATATCGACAATATAAAGAATTTAACCTATCATGACATGTAGTTAGAATTTAAAGTTTATGGGTTCTGATCTGCTACCGAACTCATTGTTGTTTAGTTACTGGGTTTGCAATTAAATATTTATATAAATTTAATGATTTTTCTAATATAAAGCATGGTCTAAGCAAAAACTAACTACTTGGTTCGTCCGAACGCGTAAATAATACACTACCTCCGCCCCTATGACATGTTGTTTATTTTAAGTAATAATTAGCTGTAATTATCTATCCGGATGATCTGATAATGTAAAATTTCTCCTATACTATAGAAGTTAAGCTAAAAGATTTTGGTTAAAAGTTAAAAACACTTCACATACCTGTAAGAAGTTGTAAATTCTGCTCAATTTCACGGCAGGCCATGACAGCTTCAACAGCATGAACTCTGACATGTTGCTGAAGCTGTTCTTTAAAGGAACATAAAACTAACAAATACTGTGCCTGTTCAAAAAATAACACACCAAACACACAGTCAAGAAACATAATCATCAGTAAAAGGGAAAAAAAGCTTAAATCTTTAACAAAAGTTGAATAAACTAAGTTCTTGGCAAAGGATATTGCAACAACAACAAACCCAGATTCATCCCAATGGGGTCTTGGAAGTGTAGTACGTACGCAAAGGAGATAAAGAGGTTATTTCTAATAAACTCTCGCGCTCAGTGATAATTAAAGGATATTGAAGAGGAAAAATTAAAACATACCAAGAAATTGTCAAGTTCTTGTCTTTCATGTGGAGAAAGAGAGTGAGAATGATGTTGAGAAGCATAAGAGCGCAAAAGATGATGAGACTGAGAAAACTGAGCTTCAATAAGTGGTAACTGATCAATAGGTGTAGCTACACGAAGACAAGCTACATGTGCTGAAAGTAACTGTTCATATAAAGGATGTGTAGCAATTTCACCCTTTAACTGTCTCTGATTATCCTCAGAAATCACCATTGAAACATCACCTAAAGGTCCTAAACCACCAATTCCTCCTCCAGTACTTGACCCCATTAATCCAACTCCTTGTTCTTGCATTTCTAAAATAACCAAGATCCTCTTTTTACAACATATAAACAAAAGGAGTTGTGTGGAAAAAGCTAAAAAGGTTAAAAAAGAAAGAAATATTGGGTTTTTAGGACCACCACTGAAGAGAATCTTGATGTACTTGATAATAGACAGTGATAATATGATATGATGATGTATACTTTTGGACTGTTTGGTTTCAGAGAAATATGATCAAAGAAAATATGAGCAAAATCATAAAGCAGACAGTTTTCTTACTATTGGTTGAGGAGAGAGAGAGAGAGGGAAAAAGATGGCATATATTTTGGGATCTGAAGCAACAAAACTTTCTGCACCTATTCTGAAGAGCTACAGATTTTAACACATACACAGAAAGAAAAAGAAAATGAAAATGAAAAACTTTAGTTTGCTTTTTGGTTTTCTTGGAAAAAGTGTAGTAATTGATACAGAGAAAAAAAGAGAAAGGGAAGAAGAAGCATCAGAGTGGAATCATTACTATGAAAGGGAAGCAAAGAAGAGAGAAGATGATGGTAATGAGATCATAGATAAAGCTGCTTAGCAGCTGCAGCTGTGGCCTGACATTTTGAGGAGTTTTTTTGTTTTTTATGTATATAGATTAACTTCTTTTTTTTTGGTTGATTAAGATGGCTAATATTTAAAATAGAGTAAATTGACACTAATCTTGCTTAAGATAAGGTTATTGGTAGGATTAGGTGATAGAACATCAGAAGTATTGGGTATTCTCTAAGCATGATATTTAAATTGAACCTAAAGCTTATTTAATTCTTTTGGTGTGGGCATTCTTGCTCTAACTTCCTGCTCTTTACAAATTACAAGTATTTCATTTTTATGTTTGACTTTGGTATAATTTTCTTTAATAAATTTAAGGCCCGGTTGGCCATAAAAAAAATTCACTTTTCTCGAAAAATCTTTACTTTTTCTAGAAGTAGTGTTTGTCCATGAAAATTTTAAGTTTTACTTAAAGTTAAATTTCGGAATTTTTTAAAAATTTAAAAAATTATTTTTCAAAATTTTCATTTCAAATCACTCACAAAAATTCAAAAGAGTTTCAAATTATATTCATGTCCAAACACAACTCTAATTTTCAAATACAATTTTCATTTGAATTTTTTATTTTTATTTTTTTCCGAAATTTCACAATTCTTATGTCCAAATACCCACCTAATGTCAAGGAAATTTTGCTTTCACACTACAATTAATTAATTAATCAATCCCTCATCTAATGCACCAATATACCTTTTTTTGGTGTATGGTAAAAGCAGCAATGCACTTAAAAATCTTGTACCCTTAACCTTTATAGTTTATTTTATTGTTCACTTTATCCCAAAGAGACGTCTAGCTATTAAATTATTCAAATTCTCTCTACACTTTAGGCAATTGAAAAAAAATCAAGTTAATCTCATTGTTCTCTTTTTCTACTTGAAAGGAATGAATCGCGAAAGGTAATTTATATCATGATTAACTTATTTTCAGGCCTTTTAATATTTGAAATCAAGCAAAAGGAATTAGCTAGCCTTTGTACGGGAAGTCAAAAAAATGTATATTTAACATTCAAACATATATTAATTAGGAAGAAGGAAAATGCAAAAAGGAGTTGAAATGTCACATTTCCTTGGCTGGTGTTTGATTTTGCAGATTTAGTCTATTTTCTACGCTATTAAGAACTTGTGTACCAACAGGTCCATCGCAAAGGAAAAACAAAACATGTGTTAACTGTTTGTTAGGCAACACATGACCCCCTACCTACTAATTACTATGTCGCATACACACGTATGTATGTCACCTATGTTTAGAAATATATATAATTTTTAGCCTTTTCCAAAAATAATAACCGATCAAATATATATATATATATATAGGAGTATTATACTTTTCAACCAGCAAATATAATTAGTTTCGACCGACAATTTTATATCTTTCCCTATTTTGTATTCCCCTTCCTCGAATCATCACGTTTGTTGTCTAAATTCATCGACACTATGAAAGAAATTTTATTGTTTTAAAATTTTAGGAAAAAAATTAGAAAATAAATATTTAAGTCCCTAGCCTTGTCGTTATCCCTAGAAAGGTTGTTCCAAAAGATTTATTGTGAATTAAATATGAACCTGAGAAAAAAAAAACTTTTGTTATATTTCTAATAAGGTTCTTTTGGGGTAGATGTTGAAGTATTCACCCCCACCCTCCAACTCCAAAAGGTTAAAGGTATAGATAATTAATAACGACAACAACAAAAATTCAGTCGAGTTTTACAAGTGGAGTCTGAGAAGGATAATATATATGCATATCTTATTCCTACCTTGAGCATATAAAAAGACTGTTTCCAATAGATCCCGGCTCAACATAGTTGCAGCAACAAAGCAACAAAGCAAAAGAAATAAAATGATGAAAAAGACAGCAAAAATAGTACAACGGCAAAATAGTAACAGAAGCAAGGTATTGATTAATTAGATAAATAATATTTGAGATTTTCACTATTGATTTAGGAGTGAAGCAACAATATGAAGGCAGAAAGTGAACTAAAACCTTTTCTTCTGCTTCTTTTCTTTTTTTCCTAATAATTAATTGTCTTAGTTTGGTTTATGTGGTGAAGTAGCGGAGCAAGCAAGGAAGAATAGTTTCTGTCAAGATAATGTTTGGTAGTAAGAAGATGTCTCTCTAAATTAATCATATAATTGGAAATATCAATATTAATAATATACTAGAACCAAACAAGCTTTCTAGACGTTGGTTGGTTTATAACAAAAACCCGACATCAATCAATAATTTGCCATGCAAGCTTCTATTGTTTAAAATTTAAATCAGAAAAAAAAAAAAAAAAAAAAAAAAAAAAAAAAAGTCCAGTGCACAAGGTATCCCGTGTTCATGTAGGGTTCGAGAAAGACCCGCATCTAGTGACGGGGCCAAAATTTTCATTAAGGGGTATCAAAATATAAATAATTAGATACATCGAAAAGTTAAGGGGAGTCAATGTATTGTAAATATACATAAAATTAAAAAAAAAATATTTAACAATATATATAATTTTCTGGTGAAGGGGTATCGCTTGACACCCTTTAGTTCAATGTGGCTCCGCCACTGGCCACATCTTAAGGGGTGTAATGTTGACAGTCTATCCTAATGCATGCATTAGTGACTGCTTCCATCGCTCGAACCTATGAATTATAATCACGCGGAGATAACTTTATTGTTGCTCCAAGGCTCCCCTTTAAAATTTAAATTATACAATTACAATAAACAAAAATTCTGTAAATGGAAATATTAAACTTTTGAATGCAATAAAGATAACTTTCAATTTCTAATTATTTTTAAATTTGAATGCTCCTAATAACTAGGTTTTAAATTTAATATTTGTATATATTCAATAAACTTTTTAACATAAATATATTGTATAAGCAAAATCTATTGGGTTCGACCGAATTCTAACTCCTCACCTGCCTATAGACAGTGGATCAGATTTATCCGCTATAAATATGAAAAATAATTTCGTGCAGAGAATAAGAAGTAGGATAATGTCTGTTTATAATTTCCAAAAGTGTGCAAACACTAAAATTCCGTAGTTAAATAATGGTCGATCCAAAAAGGCCGTGATCAATAATTAATAAATGATTGATGTTGCAGCTAGTATAAAGTTGTTACTCTACAAAACCAAACTTCTCATCAATAGCCTTCCAAAAAATAATTTTATTCCCTTTTTTTTTTATAACCCAAAAACCAACTTATTTGGGTTAATTTCATCCATGGTCATCAAACTTATCATTTATTTCACAAAAATCACTTATCTATTTTTCATCACTTAAAAGTCACTCAACTTTACCTTTATAACTTAAAAGTCATTCTAGTTCAAAAATTATAAAAAATCCAATAAAAATTATGACATGGCATTACATTTAATTAAAAAATCTAACAATAATGTCATATAAGCTTAAATAGACTATATCTACGTTAAACTCATTTCTTCCTAAGCCCGATTTCAATCATTTTTTGAATATTAGTTTTAATTTATTTTATATTAAAAAACGACCGACTTCAATCCCACATAACATATAAATGTACCACTAACAGACATGAACAACAAGCTAATAAGAACCTATTTTCACATTTATATGTTCTTATTAGCTTGTGAAAATAGGTTCTTATTAGCTTGTTGTTCTTGTCTGTTAGTGGTACATTTATATGTTATGTGAGATTGAAGTCGGTCGATTTTTTCAAAATATTTTATTTTTTAATTTTTTTTACAAGACCGACCGACTTCGGTCGGGTTTTTTTTTGGCACAAAAAGTGGGAAACTATTTTAGAATCCCACGAAATTTATTTTTTAAGAAACCGACCGAAATCGGTCGGTTTTTCATATAAAATAAATTAAAACTAATATTCAAAAAAACGACTGAAATCGGGCTGAGGAAGAAATGGGTCTAACTTAGATATGGTCTATTTAAGCTTATGTGGCATTATTGTTAGATTTTTTAATTAAATGTAATGCCATGTCATATTTTTTATTGGATATTTTATAGGTTTTGAACTAGAATGACTTTTAAGTTAAAAAGGTAAAGTTGAGTGACTTTTAAGTGATGAAAAATAGATAAGTGACTTTTGTGAAATAAATGATAAGTTGGATGACCTTCAGTGAAATTAATCCAACTTATTTACTTGATTTTAGATAATACTTCCATATTACGTGGCATTTGATTGAAAATAATGTTCAACAATTAGTTTGCATTTTGTCTTTAGTTTTTGCCACTTTTATTTGTTTATGTCATTTTTCAGAAAAAAAAATATTTATACTTTCAAACTCAATTTATAAGTTTTTGCAAAAATTCAACACTCGAGTTTAGTCCCGAATACAGAAGGAAGGCGGTTTTGTCAATGCTTGAATAAATTGATCAAAAGTAATTCACTTGTCCAAAGCTGCAAAAACAACGAGCACAAACAAGAGTTAACAAAAATTGAAAAACAATATTTGCAAATTATATTTTATATTTTTGAAAACATTTTCGTAGAACATTTTTTATTTTGTAATGTAAACACCGTTCTCTTTTCTTTTCTTTTTCTTTTTTTTAAAATTTTCTTGGAATAACTTATCCATAAAACCTAATCAAAACACACGACTTATCCCCAAAAAATATTTCCAAAAATAAACCAAAGCTAAAGTCATTGCGATATTGTCAATATGGAGTCATTTCGAATATTGCATCAAATCATGTTTGATCAAGTTTCTATAAAAGAAAAAAATAGTAATTTGGTACACACACAAAAAAATACTTTTGATATTACTACTACGTATATGATACCAGAAGTACTTTTGATATAGATTATTGCAAATTGCAACAAAATTTAAAGGATTATATAGACATAGTCAGCCGAATTTACTATTTAATTTTTTTAGTCTGCATACATCAATTATAAATATATTATACATAAATTATATATATATTGTATGTCAGTCGATTATTCTTTATTTTAAACAATTAGGTAAGCGGTTATTTAGGTTATTATATCCAAAAGGAGGATTACGTAATTGAAATTTGAAAGCAAAATTTGTAAGAAAAAGAAAAGGAAAAAAAGCCTAGTGCACAGTGAACAGTAATTGTTAGTTGAAAGAGAGGGTGGTGGGGTCAACATCATAGCTGTAGGCATGTCATATTCCCAGTCCTAAGATTGAGACAAAGGATTAGTGTGGTCCCCCCTCACAATAAATTCCCTTTTTTAGGAAAATAAAATAAAATAAAATTTGATTTTGTAAAAAAGGGTTTTTTTTTTTTTTTTTTTTTTTT